GCCTTGCCACATTGTGACACAGTACTCACCACAGGGAAGCTTGTATAAGTACATTCACACAGTGCTTCAGGGCTTACAGTGTTTTAATGGATTTTTAAAAAGAATTATTTTATTTTACTTTATTTATTTTACTTTGGCCAGAGAGGGACAGAGAGAGAAAGAAAGAGAGAGGGAAAGTGAGAAAGCAAGGCACCAGGTCCAGGATTCAATGGTCAGCCATGCGGGAGTCCAGTGCCTTTAACCAGTGCACCACCTGCTGGCCCCTAACTTATGTTTAAAATCTCACTATGTTCTTTTTTTAAAAATTTTGTGTTTTTTGGAGAGGTTTTTGCTATAGGGTGCATGCACTCACCAGAAAGACAGAGAGAGACAGAGAGACAGAAAGCGAGAAATCAGCCCCCAGGGGGGATGGCCACACCGCAATCCTTTCTCCTCCATTCTCCTCTCGGGATCTTGGGCACACACGCACATGCACTCGGCATGAGTTTACGCTACCGGGTCCAGGACTCAAACTGCAGTCGACTACATGGGAGTTCCAGCAACATAGCCATTATGCCAACTGCTGTTCCCCACTATGTTCTTTTCTTAAACTTTATTTCCTTTTTTTTTTTTTTTTTTTTTTTTTAGGAAAAAATTTTTTTTTTTAGGGCATTTGGGTTGAGAGAAAGATTTTTGCTATAGGGCATATGCGCTCACTGGAGAGACAGAGAGTCAGAAAGTGAAAAATCACCCTCCAGAGGGGATGGCCACGCCACAGTCCCTTCTCCTCCATTCTCTTTCTGGGATTTTGGACATGCACATACATGTGCCCGGTGTGATTTTTCAAGCTGATGGGTCCAGGACTCAAACTGCAGTTCACCATGTGGGAGTCCAGTGCTTTAACCACCATGCCAACTGCTGGCCGCTGATATTTTTAACTGCCCTACTGCATTAGAGCCCTCAAGAGGAAAATAACTTATTTGTTTATTTCATTCTGTCTTTTAATTCCATTTGGACCATAGGACAAAACCAGAGGACCAGGAAAAATGAGAGTTAAGATGAGAACTTATGAACATTCTTCAACTTAACTCCAATCTGCCTTCTTAGAGTGAAAGTGCTCATTTTTCATCTCTCAGACCCCTAGCATTTCTTCTTGTGCAAATGAACCCTACTGGATACACCCCCCAAACAACTGCTTTTCCCCTGTCTTGTCCAGCTCTTCCTTAATCTTTATCCCTTGAAAAACACATGCCCAGAACCAGCAGATGGTCTAATGGTTACGCTGTTGGACTCCCACATAGTTGACTGCAGTTCAAGTCCCGGACCTGGCAGCTTAAAACTCACACCGGGCACATGTGCATGCATGGCCAAAATCCCAAGAGGAGAATGGAGAAGGGACTGCAGCGTGGCCATGCCCCCAAGGGGGTGATTTCTCGCTTTCTGCCTCTCTGTCTCTCCAATGAGCATATGCTCCCTATAACAAAAATCTCCCTTAAAAATAAACACACACACACACACACACACACACACACACACACACACACATAGACCCAGTGCCCTAGATCCTGTTCTTTTTCTGTAGTTGAGGGCACGATTTTCTGTACCTCCCCACCCCTGATAGCTCTTCCCAAGTCCCTAGCCGGAGCATCTTCTCCAATTCTGTACATCGTGTGGACAAGCTTCCACATCCTCCTTCACCACTCACCGGGCAATGTCGGCATCAAAAGAAGAGACTGGGGGGTTGAGGCGCTGGTAGCGACGAATGAACGAGTCCTTGTTGATCTCCCAGATTTCGCGGTACATATCCCAGGTCTTCAGGTAGTTTTGCAGCAGGCCGGCATTGTTGGTCATGCCGCTGCTGATCTGGGCCTGGATCTTCTTGATGTCCTCGTCTCGTTCTTCAAAGGAACCAGAAAGATGCTTCTCACTGACTCCCATCCCAACCCAGGCTCTCAAGCCACGGCACCAAACCATCCGCTACTCCAGCCCCCCAAAGGAACACAGCTCAAACATGAACATTAGGATATAGGGGTTGGCCGGTGGCATGGTGGTTGGGGAGCTGGACTCCCACATGGCCAACCACAGTTCAAGTCCTGGACCTCCTTCACCACTCACCGGGCAATGTCGGCATCAAAAGAAGAGACTGGGGGGTTGAGGCGCTGGTAGCGACGAATGAACGAGTCCTTGTTGATCTCCCAGATTTCGCGGTACATATCCCAGGTCTTCAGGTAGTTTTGCAGCAGGCCGGCATTGTTGGTCATGCCGCTGCTGATCTGGGCCTGGATCTTCTTGATGTCCTCGTCTCGTTCTTCAAAGGAACCAGAAAGATGCTTCTCACTGACTCCCATCCCAACCCAGGCTCTCAAGCCACGGCACCAAACCATCCGCTACTCCAGCCCCCCAAAGGAACACAGCTCAAACATGAACATTAGGATATAGGGGTTGGCCGGTGGCATGGTGGTTGGGGAGCTGGACTCCCACATGGCCAACCACAGTTCAAGTCCTGGACCTGGTGATTTGCTTTCTCACTTTCTCTCTCTTTCTCTCTCTGGTGAGTGCACATGCCCTACAGCAAATGTAAATTAATAATAATAATAATAATTGCTACAATTAAATAATTTTTTTTAAAAAAGGATATAGAGGAGGAGGCAGAAAGTATAGTACGAGTCTTACTTTTCTTCCATGAGATCAGATGTCTCACCTGCTGGGAATGAGGCCCCAGGCCCAAACTTGTCTTTCCTCATCTCCCACACTCAAATTCAAATCCCTTGAGCATCAGCCACCTCATCTCAACCCCATCCCTGCCTCTGCTCTTCTCCTAATCTGGCCCCTTGAGCTGAGTTCCCACCAGTCATGGAAGTGATGGCCCCATCTGTCTGAAAACAGCCCTGCTCTCTCCTGGCTCAGCCCATTCCTAAGCCCCAGCACCCCTGCACTTGCTCCTGCCCATTACCCACTCACCCACAATTATATGGATGGGTTCACGATGGAACTTGCGCTTGATGAGAATTTCAGGGAGGTGGCGGAAGACAGAGATGGTGGAAAAGAGATGATTGCCGATGTCGTTGACCACGCCTGCCAAAGTCTGCAGAGTAGGTGAGAATTCCACCTGAGGGGAACACAGAGGAGGGGGCCTTAGCACAGCCCACGGAGGGGACACGTCTCAGGCCAGGTAAGGTGGACATCTCAGAACCAGACTCAGAAGTCATGGGATAAAGTCAAGGCCAAGCTGAGGTTTAGGGGAGACGGAAACTGACAAATAGGATGTGATAGTTAGCGGGTATTTGGGGCAACGCGGTCCACACCTGTGCCACACCTCCTTGCACGTCATTCTGCAAAATGACAAGGACTCTGAAGAGTGGATTTGGGGTGGTCTTCCCATCCCCATTGATAGCCTTGGACAATTCCAGCAGTGACCACTTGACATTCAGGCGCAGGGCGTCCTCCATCATGTGGTCCAGCCGAATTGTGTAGAGCATCCACTGGTGCTGAATCTATGGGGAGAGGGGGACGAAAACCTTAGGGAAGACAGGTCAGGTCTGAGGGTCAGCCAGCAAGGAAGGGAATAAGCTCGGGCGACAGACAGCTAGGACGCCGGCCCCTGAAGGAAGAGCTCTGCCAGACTGAAGGCTGGCTCAACCCAAGACTAGAGCGGGATGTTTGAGAAGCACGCACTGATAAAGAAAAAGAGGAGGGGGTGCAGGAGGACGAGAGAATGGTCCTGCGGGGCCAGGAGACTAGTTCGTTCACCACAAAGCCCTGGCCACAGGAGCCCTACCTCGGGGCCGTCATTCTTGAAGACCTCATAGGCGTTGGCCATGATGTCCACCACATCCTGGTGCAGGCTCATCAGTTTCTGCTGTACAGCTGTCCGATGCTCTTTTTGGTCCTCCTCAAATTCCAGGTCCCTGTACACCCGTTTGCCACTAATTCGCACCAACAGTGTCTCGGACATCTCCTGGGCTCGCCAGCCGACGGTCAGAGTGGACGCCTTGAAATCATTCACGATCATCTGCACCTGGAGTCGGACCCCACCCCCGGGAGTCTGAGCCTGGGAAGAGAGCGTCCCTCCCGCTCTCTGCGGGAGTTGCTGACCTAAAGAAAGCCCTTCCCCCAACACGCGTCATTTTGTCTACACCACTGCAGGCCTCCGCCCCTACCCCAGACGTGGCGGTATCACCCGGGTGCCAGCCATCGCGGCACCCTCGCGGACCTCGGGCCTAACGGCCACAGCCCACCTTGCTGGCATGTATGCGGCACTCCGTGATGAAGAAGGCGCTGGCCCCCTTGAGGGCCCAGTGTAGTTTCTTGAGTCCAGGGTGGATCTTCTTGTCCAGAAATCGGATACGTTCTTTGAATAGAGCCTGTTCATCTGAGGACAGCATGGCAATAATCCTGTGTGTAAAGAGGACAGGGTGGCTGGTGGGGAAGAGCTCCAAAGACCTCTCCTCCACACCAGAAAGCTTGGCAGAGGGATCTGGAAGTCTGTCGCTCTAGACGAGCGCTTTCGCAGAAGGCTTCCTGGGGCGCGAAGTGTTTGGTGACCTGTGCTGTCCAGTACAGAAGCCAGTAGCCACGTGGGACTAAAGGCCACTCGATAGGTGACCTATGTAAATGTGCAACCAGATTTTTAAATTTTAATTGATAAATTAATTTCAATGGGAATAGCCTCACCTAGATGGAAACTATTGGGTTGTTGGGAAAGTCATGATGCATTTTTGTATGAAAAAAAAAAAAAAAACAGAAAAATGTGTCATAACTTTCCCGACAACCTAATATCACACTGGATATTGAGGTTCTAAATACTCAAACGAGACCATTGGTTCCGCCCCCTGGACTTCAACTGGGCTGAGAAAGTTACCCAGTATGGTCTGTTTGTGTCTCTCCCAAAGTCACATGTCAAAATCCCCTCTGGAGGAGGTTTGGGTGGGTTCTTTGGGAGGTGATGAAGTCATGGGGGTTCCATCTTCGTGAATGGGACTGGCTCCTGACAAAAGAGGCCTGGGACACTCCTTATTCTTACTCCGTCATGTGAGGCCACAGTGAGGGGATGGCCATCTATGAACCAAGAAGGGCGCCTTCACCACGTATTCACCGACCAGCACCTGGATCTTGGACTTCCCAGCCTCCAGAACTTTGAGAAAAACATTTCTGTTGTTTTTAAGCCATCCGGTCTGTAGGAAATTTTTTACAGCTGCCCAAACAGACTACCACAGTACCTAATCCCTTGGGATGAGCCCAAGGGAGTTCAGAGAACAGGGGTGGGCTGGGCTGCAGGGCAGCACTGCCTTGGTTCAGTGAGGCTGATGTCGCTCTGTGCGACTATCCTAACACCACCCCTGTCAAATCCAGAGAGGTGACTCAGACCTAGAACACAGACAGTCTAAGTGGCTGCCTCACTCTCTACCCTGCGGCTGAAAAACAAAACCACAAGGGACAAGGAGACTCAGAGCCACAAGACGGAGTATGGGAAACCATTTTTTCAAGATGGACAAATGCAAAGGACAGAAAGCACAGGAAGTGGCCGTCATGGGCAGGTCAGCCGATCCTCGGGGAAGGGCCCGCGGAGCCCGCGGTCCGGAGCCCACCTGTTGTAGTCCCGGGCGACGAGCAGCAGGTTTTCCCGCAGGATGCGCAGGTCCTCGGCCCGCTCCGCCACGTTCACCACGTAGTGCGGCGTCTCGAACAGCAGCCGCTCCCAGTAGTCGATCTCCACGAAGAGAATCAGAAGGGACCTTCGAGAGAAAGCAAAGCGGTGGAGGCGACCATGCAAGGGGGAAACTGGAGCCAATAATGGACGAAGGGGTGCAGGGCTGGGAGGCACAGAGAAATTTAGAGACAAGAAAGGAAGCAGAACCTCCTAAAACGGAACCAACTAAAAAAGGCTGGACGTTCACATTTGCTCCCTCCCAAACCAGTAAAATGACAGTAAAGGGCAGGATGGAATGGGGGGGGGGGGGCAAAACATTTAACAGGCACAGACATGGAAAACGATCTGTTGATGATAGTGTGTATGATAATGTCTTTGACTGGACTGATACCCAGGGTATTCATGCTGGGAAGATTCGTTTTGTGTGCTGTGGCACTGTACAGTGATTAAGTGTAAAATAACAACAAAATAACAGGAAAGGGTTTTTTTCTGTGTATTTAAGGCATAAGCCTGAGTTTCTGCTGTAACAGCTTCCCAAGGAAAGACAACAAAAATGTGGAATTGAATAAGGAGCAGATGTGGAATCCTAAGCTGGCAGTGGGGAAGCCACTCAGTTTATGTGGCCGGGCTCTCTAAAGGGCCAGGGCTGGTGTCTTCAAGTACCTTTGGAAGGGGGAGAGTAAAGGTGGGGTTCCAATAGGGAGGCCAGTGGAAAGTTTAAGAGGCAGCTTGGGACCAGCAGATGCATATGGTTATGTCACTGGACGCCTACGTAGTCAACTGCGATTCGAGTCCCAGACCTGGGGGCTTAAAACTCATGCAGAGTGTGTGGGCATGCATGCCCAAGTTCTCGAGGGGATTGGAGCATGGCCATCTCCCCTGGAGAGTGATTTCTCACTTTCTGCCTCTCTGTCTCTCCAGCACACGCCCTATAGCAAAAATCTCTCCAAAAAGAAGAAGAAGAAGAAAAAGAAGAAGAAGAAAGAAAAAGAAAGACACTGAAGCTGCTCTTGGGGCCAGACAAAACAGTGGTAAAACCAACACTCTGCAAAGCTGACCCACATGGGAAGGTTCTTTGTTCATGTCTAGAGACCTCCCTGAGTACACAGTACACTTGAGGGCTCATGAACTGGGGGTAGATTGCAGCATGGAGACCTTGCTGGAAGTGCTGTATCTCAGTGTCTCTGTGTGTGTGTGTGTCTCTTTCTCTTGCTCACGGAAGAAAAAAAGAAACTTTTTTAAAAAGAGGCTGTATGGTGGCACAGTGGTAAACACAATGCTCTGGGGCTAATCCACATGGGAAGGTTCCAGGTTCATGTCCCGAGACCGCTCTAAGTACACCAGGCATAGATATGCCCATGATTCAGGACTCGCTGAGGCTGGGGTGGATCACAGTATCAGGATACTGTTGGGAGTACTGTCTCTCTTTCTCTCCTCTCTCTCTGTCCACGAAGTCAATACCTAAACTTAAAAAAAAAGAAAAAGGAGGATGCATTCTGGGAAACCAGCAGCACCAGATCCAAGATGGCGGCCAGCAGGAGGCTGATGAAGGAGCTTGAAGAAATCCACAAATGTGGAATGAAAAACTTCCATAACATCCAGGTTGATGAAGCTAATTTGTTGACTTGGCAAGGGCTTATTGTTCCTGACAACCCTCCATATGACAAGGGGGCCTTCAGAATCGAAATCAACTTTCCAGCAGAGTACCCATTCAAACCACCGAAGATCACATTTAAAACAAAGATCTATCACCCGAACATCGGTGAAAAGGGGCAGGTCTGTCTGCCAGTAATTAGTGCTGAAAACTGGAAGCCAGCCACGAAACCGACCAGGTAATCCAGTCCCTCATAGCACTGGTGAACGACCCCCAGCCCGAGCACCCCCTCCGGGCTGACCTAGCTGAAGAATACTCTAAGGACCATAAAAAATTCTGTAAGAATGCTGAAGAGTTTTCAAAGAAATATGGGGAAAAGCGACCTGTGGACTAAAATCTGCCACGATTGATCCCAGCAAGTGTGAGCAGAGACCCCGAGCAGTGCATCAGACGCCCCGCAAAGCAGGACTCTGTGGAAAATTGACACGGGCCACCGCCTGGCGTTCGCTTGTGGCAGTTACTAACTCTCTACAGTTTTCATAATCAAAAGTGGTCTAGGTAACCTGTAAAGAAAGGATTAAAAATTTAAGATGTTCTAGTTCTGCTTTCTTTGTTTTAAAAATCACTGCTTCAATCTAAAAAAAAAAAAAAAAGAAAAAGAAAAAGGAAAAAGAAAAAAGAAGAAGGCAGGGCCCAGTGGGTAGCATGGAGATTAAGGTGGATGGATTCCACAGTGGTCAACCGAATGGTTTGGGTCCCGAAGCCAACAGCTTGAAAAACATGCCAGGCACACGCGTGTGCTTGCCCAAAATCCTGAAAGGAGAATGGAGGAGAAGGGACTGTGGCATAGCTATTCCCCCAGAGGGTGATTTCTCACTTTCCCGCTCTCTGTCTCTGCGTCTGTCTCTGGCAACAACATGCGCCCTATGGCAAAAATCTAAAAAACAAAAAGAAAGAAAGAAAAGAAATCCAGATATCTCTGAGGCAAGAGCAGCTTAGGTGTGGTGATGAGCGGCACTGCCATTGGCCTCGAGTTGAGCTAAACAGAGGATGCTCCGTCTGAAACTCCTCGGGCCCAGGGCTCCAGGCAGTGGCTGACATTTGGGAGTGTGGGCTCAGGGTGACCACATTTTCTGATTATTTTCAAGGGAGACCATAAAGTGAGTTTTTATATAAAATCTCCTGAGTTGTAAGTGTTGACAAGAAATTCAGCTGAAAAATGATTGGAGGAGAGGCTTCTTAACTGCTGGCAATGTTCTGTCCTTGACTTGGGTGATAGCTACCAGGGTGTTTATATTGCGATTAATTGTTACACTGAACACGCATTTTAAGTATGTCACTGTGTGTATAATATACGTTATCATAAAATGATTTTAAATAAAACATTTATTTATTTTTAAGAATTATTTATTTTATTTTATTTACTATTATTATTATTATTATTAGGGACCAGCAGTTGGCGTAATGGCTATGTCGCTGGACTCCCACGCAGTCGACAGCAGTTCAAGTCCCCGACCCGGTGGCTTAAACTCATGCCAATGTGTGTGTGTGTGCGTGCCCAAGATCCTGAGAGGAGAATGGAGGAGAAGGGATTGTGGCATGGCCATCCCCTCTGGGGGGTGATTTCTCACTTTCTGTCTCTCTATCTCTCTCTGTCTTTCTGGTGAGTGCACATGCCCTATAGCAAAACCTCTCAAAAGAAAAATATTATTAACAAATTTGACCAGAGAGAGAGAGAGAGAGAGAAAATGAGAAAGCAAGCTGCCAGGTCCAGGAATCGAACTGCAATTGACCTTGTGGGAGCTCAGCATCTTAACCACCACACTACTTGCCAGGCCCAGGAAAAATTTATTTTAAGCAATAAGATACATGTAAAAGTAGCCAGATATAAAATTAAGTTATACAAATCAAAGCATTCTAATATAAAAGTTGTACCCAGGGGCCGGCAGGTGGCGTGGTGGTTAAGGGCACTGGGCTTCCATATGGCCAACCAC